AGCTTGCTGATTTAGGGTGGGCAACTGACTCTCAGAGACAGGGGAGAGGGGAGGAACAGAGGGGTTAGGGAAAGACAGGGTGAGAGGGGATGAGAGGGTGGAAGACAAGAGAGGGATGAGGGAGGAGAGGATGGGAAGAAAGTAAAGTAAAAATAACAGTATGAATGTAATAAAAAATGTTTGAGGATATATTATCAACATTAAAAGTTCTAACGTGGGAAAAATGCTCCAAAATGTATAAAAATCGGAATCTTTATTAAAATACTTGAATATTTAGAAAGCAGAGGGACAATTTTCCCTTTTTATGGGTAACCAAACCATCTGTGCTACAGCAGGTCGAATCTCATCATCCGACCAGCTGACAGCGGCTAACCAGGCCTGTTCAGACTTTCTGAGAAAACCACACATGCTCTACTGTCCTTCGCTTTCTAGTGGTGTCTCAAAGAGCAGGCTCATCCAGTAGTGTTTATTAACCTTATAGAAAAGGTTTGACTGCTGTGAAACAATGTTCATTAACCTTGGCAACAGCATTTAGGGAAACAGTGTGTAGCTGAGTTTCTGGTCCTCTTGCTGTTGAACGCTACGATGTCTCTCAAGCAACCCTCACAGGGCTAATGTTCTGGTACACTGTGGGGCTGATGGTCATGCGTGTTTTTGTGTGTCCCTGGAGTTTGCATGACTTTGTGCTTGCAGGATGATCAAAGTACTTTCCTTTTGAATGTGCCGATCTGTTTATTGACCCGGCAGGGGAAAGGCTTGGGTGGAGATTTAAGCATGTTCACACACACGACGACATGCAAACAAGCATGCACACAGAAACGCACCTCTAAAAGGGTCCCTGGCATCGTGACATTTTACATTTCATTTAAATCCATGAGGGATTACATCCCTCCTGTTAGGAAGGAAGAGAGGGGAAAAAGCACTCATCGAATCCATTAGTTTTGAACATTTAAAAGACCATCTAAGATAGACTGATGGGCGGATAGAGGGTTGGGTGGGTGGGTAGTGCCAGTCATGCGAAGTGGGGACTGTGTGGCACAGCACAAGTCTGTCCTAGATTAAACAGCCACTCTAATCCCCCATTTCTGCCCCCAAATTGGTTTTCCCTCAATCTCAGCCTTACCATCCTAATGTGAGAAAAAGAGAAGTAGAGCTGAGGCAATATAATCAGCACGTTAAAAAGCTGTGAGAGATGTAACGATAAAGCAATCGAACGGGTGATTTTAAGGGGAGCACGCACAGTTTGATTGGGGTCAGTTAAGGCTTCTTGAAAGCAGGCTCAAATGCAAACGTTCTTCAAATGAAGCATTGCCGAGTTGTAGTTCTCCGTCCATTGTGCTGCTTGATAACTACGTCCAATAGTCCTGCGTAAGCAACTTCTGACTCGCAACTCCAATAGGGCCCAGTCTTTTAAGCCAACATTTTATCCTTCCACAGCACCATCTTCAAACCAGGAGAAGAGGCACAATGGCTCAGACTCCGTCCCCAGTACCTTGCACTTCGGCTGGGCTCGCGGCACACTCTCATTGTTCCAGCTCCGTGTAGGTCTCTGGATCTCGTTATGGAGTTTGCCTGCGGCTCTGGCGAAGCTCGTCTCTTTCTTTAAGTAAACTAGTAATGGCCGAGCGTATGGCTGAGGTCTGGGGATCTGTGGGTTCCTTCTCTAAGTAGAGACTAAAGTGCTGGGCGCCTAAGGTCAGCAGGCTGTCTGGACTGTATCCCTGGTGACCTGAGCGGAGCAGTCTCTCGCAGGCCAGTGCCAAGTTCTTGTCCCAGTTTGGAGGGTAGTCTGAGTGGGCCTCCACAATCGCCTTATACAGCTGCACAGCAAAACACACATACATATACACACAGAGACACACACAGAAGCAGATGTTAAAAAGCTTTTTCTTGTGCAGCACTTAAATCTGCCCCATTATGGTAAATGAGAGAATTGTTGCATGTTTGTTGAGGTCAGACTCACAGTGTAAGACAGCTCATAGAGGCGAGCTTTCCCCTCTCCCTGCATCCCTTCTGCCAGGTCAAACAGAAAGAAAGCCGTCTTCATCCTGAAACAAAGCACGCAGGCTCAGGGCTAAGTGCTGGATGGATGAGCCATGCAGATCCACACTCACAGACACACCACTCCAATGGAGTGATTTATGTAGATGCTGCCACCAAATAGAATGTACATGTAGATGCTCTACCACACAAGACTGGTTTATGGAGATGTTCTAGAGAGCTAGTATGCATCGTGACGCAGCTTTTTTCTCAGAACACTAAAGTATACAACCTCTCCAAGGAGAAAAACTAACGTATTTAAAAAGAAACTGCACTGTACCTGGCTTGCCACATCTCTTCATTAGCGACATGCTCCCAGGACGCAGGATGGAAACTGTTTACAGATAAAACAAATTCAAAAAATCTTTATGTAAACAGCTTGAGGCGTTGGCTTGTGCACAGTTCCACTAACTTTAAATGATTATGTATGTGAATATATTGTTCCCCTCGACTGTGCAGGTTTTGATACACTAAACATCAATGTTTGCTGCATAAACATTAAATGACTGCACAACAATACCAGCTAGCACATTAGACATGGAGTAAAACCACATCTCCCTTTCTTCACTTTGTTGACTGTAAACACTTGACCTCTTCTTCAAAAGAATATTTTAGCAGGGTTTCTAAACTAATATTTGGCTTGCGGGCATCGGTGGACACGCTTGTCGAGAGGGTGCGGGAAATAATGTCACAGTATTCAGTCGTGGATATCTGAGTGAATGAAGGGCTGCTGGCTACAGCAACAGAATATGGAGCTTTGACTAATTCCACTTTTGACACAGTTATTGACAAAGTGCAATAAGAAACTCATTATTTTTCATCTTCAGCCTCATTTCAGATTGCTGAAGGCCTAATGTCTTTCTCTGGTTGAATACACAAAAGGCTGGATCACAGCATGGAGAACAGAGGACAACCTCACTGAGGGAAGCTCTGTGGAGTCTAAGGAAGAGTGAGTGAGAAGACCACAGAGAGACGGGAGACGACGAGATGTTGGAAATGAAATAACGTGGTGAGGACTCACTCGTTGTTTGGAACAATACGCAATTTAAGTACAACATCCTGCTATTTGAACCTCTTAAAACCAGCTGAATTCAGCCTTTGGGAACTCACTGTGGAGCTAAACCAGGTTCAAACCCCGGGACTTTATTTTAAATTCTAGTCCCAAAGGATAACAAAATATGCCCAACTGAACTTTAGAACAATATGTATAAGATTTCAATTTCCATTTGGTGCTGCAATAAAGAAAAAAAAGCAATGCTTTTTGTGTTATTAGAATTCAAAGATCTGACAAGTTGATTTAATCTATATTATTTTCAAACAGTGTGGAATAGGTCAAATAAAGCTACTTAAGAGGAGGGAAAAGGAAAAGGGTATGTTTAGGGGTTAAACACATACCTGTGGGCAGACCTTAATGAGTCTGTGTATGAGTGTATGTACCTGTTGTGTGGTTCACTCCAGTTGTAGATGTTGCGCGTGCTGTTGGCCCACCTTTCAGGGTGGAAGTGCCTCTGAACCGGCACCAGGTAGTCACACACACCCAGGGGCCAACGAGAGAAGCTATGCTCCCAGCTGTGGTCTCCATCAGGCAGCCCAATGCAGGCAACCACATGCCTACTGCAGAAAAACAAACAGGAAGAGACCTCAGAAACATCCTCAACTATCATCCATACAAACACCCCCCTTTAACCAGGTAACTAATGAAGATGAGACACAGAAACATCATATAGACCTTTGTTCACTATCTAGCTCCCCTCCAGTCCTGCAACAAAATGGTCAGGCCCGCAGGGTTAATCCCACAGGTCAGTGTTGCCCCACTGAGAGACGCATGTTGGCCTGGCAAACACTGCCCCCTGGTGGGCTTGGTATTAACAGGTCTCCAGCCAGTTCCTGGTTCTCAATTCCTCTTGGAGTGATGGGAGCAGGAAGCAGTGATGAGTCCGCCAGAGACAGTTTAACCAAATCAAAAAGATTAGACGACTTCTGTAGTTCATCAAACTCCTTTTATGGCCTGAACAGCTGTACGGGCTTATCTCCTCTCTGCACTCACAGCTGTGTGGACCATGATCTCTGCCTCATTTGATCACACACTTGTTCATTTGGACCATTGTTGCCATCCCAATTCACTCTCTCTTAATTTTACACTCTTCTATTCAACCGTTCAGACCACCCTTTCATTCTCTCCAGGCGCTCTCACTGCGTCTCGGTGACTCACTGTATGTTGTAGGACAGAAACTCTTCCAGACTGAAGGTGTCTTTCCCCACAGGGTGGAGCGGGTCCCACCAGCGACCAGGAAAGTTCACCCCAGGGTGGTGCTGCGCCAGCTTGGCCACATACCAAGAGTACGTCATCATCTGAAAAGAAGATAGAGAACCACCAACTCAGTTCAAGTCTTTGAATCCATGTGATGTGATCAATTTACTAATGAAAGGCTTTAAACACAATCTTAGTGGCTTTTATTTGTGGTTCTGGGGTTTTTCTTTTTTCACAGAAGAGACTAAATCTCAAATAACTTTTTTTTACATAACGTCTATATTCAATCGATCCATCCAGAAAATTATGATTTTAAAGAGATATAAATTGTATCCGGCAAATATCAGTGTCAAAAATATCTTATAGACGGGAGAAAAAGATCAATTCAATTGAATCCTTCTTAATTGACAATCAAAAGAAACTAAAGCAATGTTTCCATTAATTAAAAGAAATGCAGGAACTTTCCTTTTCAAAACAATACACGCAATGAAACTATGTTTTATTATATATTGCTATTTTAACACATACATGTGTAATTCTTCTTGAACTTAACTGTGTTTAAAGGGAACTTTTAAAATTCATTGGATTTTGGTTTTAAAATAAAGCTGTTCTTGATGATACTAAATTCTTACTTGACGTATATAACATTAAAACTTAAATGAGAACTGCTCAGCAAAGACAAAACAGTGGAGAAATGAAAGCTCTGACCTCCTGGTCGACCAGACGTGCGTCGGGCCGCACGCCTTGGCAGTAGTGTAAGTAGCGCAGGGAGTTTCCGGGCAGATCCCCTCTGGTCAGGATGATTGCGTTGTTTGGGATGGAGGCCAGAAGCTCCCTGCCGAACCTCTCCACCACGCTGTTTCTGCTCTGATCGCACTCCCTGAGGATTATCAGCACATACACAATCACACTGTAAAGTATAATCAAAACACAAGTTGTGTTTACTGGAACTTAAAAAGAGGCTTGAGTACATCTTTACCCCAGCTTAGAATTGTGAGGGATCTGTACAAATGTGCGTACGTGAGTGTTGGTAGGTTAGCTTTCAAGGTGCTCTGAGGGGAAGTTGTCAGTGCCCCCGCCCCTTCCACTCTGCAGAACGCTCCGGCTGCCTATCTAATCGTGGGGAGACAGGTGTGATGGGTCTGACAGCACAGGCCATGCTCCCCTCTTGATCAAAGCCGCTCAGTGATGGCTGTCTGGCACTCCCAGCACTACGCTGGTGTAATCTGCCTCCTCGGACAGCTAACATCTCAGACTGAGCTCTGTGAGTGGAATCTATGTGCTAACCGTGCCTCTCTTTAGCCCCTACCATGGGGTGAGCAGGGAAAAACCTGACATGTGGAGTTCAGACCTGCGGTATGAAGCGCAGAGGAGAAACAAATCAGGTTGACTCAGGGGAAACTTATGCATGGGGATTTTAGAAGGAGTTTTTATTCCACTTTAACTTTATAGCAGAAGTATTTATTTTAGGAAACATTTGGCTCTAGTGAAGTTACTACAATAGGGATGCTGTAAAGTAAAACCTATTATACTTATAAATTCAAACTCCAAAACAAGAGCAGTTTGAAAAACTAATAGAGGTTGAAATCAAAAACAGCCTATAGAAGTTCATAACAATGCAGCTACAATGTGTGACCATTTTGAGTGTAATGTAGAAATAGATTTGTATAATTGTCTTTGTAAGTGTATGAATGCTCTGCTTTTAATTGAACTTGTGTTTCTAATCTCTACACTCTAACAATGTTCTGATGTTAATGGACTACAAATGTATGTTTTTTTCACACCCAAACAGGAATTTGTTCCACTAACAATACTCACTTGTGATTGGTGTGCACCATATGTGCCAGCAGAGCCATGGTGAAGACCCAGCCTGTGGTCTTCCACAACCCCCCCCGGCCCAGCCTCCTCTCCAGCTCGGTGTGTGTCCTGCTCAAGCCGAGGCCTGCCAGCACACACACTGCAGCGTCGCTCTGAAGCCAGAAACGCTCAACCTGCAAGCAGAGAGCGAACATAAGAAAACTGTTTCCTGTAGTCTTCTTTAGTTTTTAGTCTAGTCCAGGGTTTACTACTGGATCGGGATCAGCATCAACATATTCTGCTATTACGGTGCTCCTATTTCAAGATCTAGTACTGCCTGCTGTTTAGACATTTCTCAAAAATGAGTTGGAATTGCAACTCAAATGCATTAGTGTGCTTTTCAACCACTGTATGTAAATGAGAAAACTGTGGAATCAGACAGAAGATGTCAAACTGAGTTAAAGTCTCATAGCTCACCACTCCAAGCAGGAGGGGTCTGCTGATGTCCAGGTTTGCTCTCCAGGCAAAAAACAGTGAGTAGACAACCATCATGGCAGTGAACAGCCAGGACACAGAGCGACACGTCCTGGGAAAGGGAAGGCCAGTTATTCAGTTTAGAAATATTGTTCATATATTCATTTTCATTTCATTAATATTGGGCAATATTCTCATGGACTGGCATTTACAAATATTTAGTCGAATGTAAAAAATATATAATTGAGTAACGGCCCGTCCACACAGCGGCGTGCGTTGAAGCTTTAACGCTTCTGCCCATTCACTTTGAATGGGGTGACGTCACCCATCGCCGAACTGCATTGTGGGAGCAAAGCGTAGCTTTTCTTGCGGTGCTCGCTGCAAAAGTTGAGCAATGTTCAACTTTTGAAGCTTCGACGGAAGCGCCAGCCAATCGAATCATATGCCAGTACAAGCTCTAGCCAATCAAACCACTGCTTGTGTGTCCGGGGCGGGAGATTCAGGTGGTTGGTTGTTGGTCTAGCTTCAGACCTGTCCGCTGGCAAGCGACAACGCACGCCGCTGTGTGGACGGGCCGTAAGTCCATGAAAACATTAATGTAGGCATGGAGATCACAAGCCCAGGAGCAAATGTATACACCAGCCAGCGTAGAGGTGTATGATTGATTCTCTAATGCAGACTGAGTCATAATGAGCTGCTGCCAACCGCTGAATCACAAACTCATTAGAGTACAGCTGTAAAATGGACTAAAAAGAAAAAACATTGCCATTGTGGCATTAACAAACCATCCTTTGAGCCTGGACGGACACGTTTAAGCTCTACTTTTCTTGCCCAAATGTAACTGATGGCCACAAATAAATATTGTTAATATTCTGTTTTTGTAAAAAGATAAAGTAAATTCAGTTATTTTCTATTAAGACAATGTTCTCGTACAGTTGACTCCATGTAACAACATTGGGTAAATTAGCATTGGCATGGCTTCCATTTGGCATCCTATGAAATGACCTTGCTTTTTTTCATCAGTGTGAGTATACAGCCAAGTTTATCAAAGGGCACCCCAGGAGAGGGGGAAGCGGGGGGGGGGGAGCGATGATCTACAGCGCCTCAGGGCTTCACTAGGCTTTATCAGCTCCACCCCACAGACCCCAGAAAAGGCACTGCTGTAATGATGACTGGATCACATACAGAGATATACAAGCAGCGATTTACTTTCACACAAGCTCCCTTGATTTGAATGTGGAGCGTCGCGACAGCTTGACAGTGAGGTGCCTCAGTGTTTTTTTGTGTTCTCTTTTTCTAAGATCAGTATTTTGTCAGTGGTTTTTGTTCCCCGTCTCTTACTCCAGGGGATTAGATGTTTGGTTGAAGCAGCTGTTGAGATGTGTGTGACAGAGTTTGGTGTTCTTTATGCTCATCCTACCTGTCCCATGAGGAGAGGAGAAGGCCTATTCCAGCTAGCGCCAGAACAGGAAGTGAAAGGTCTTTCAAGCAGTGGTCCAACTGGGCCCTGCACACACACAAACACACAGATCATATATATGATGGACACCAAAGACGAGCTCAATAACTCCCCCTACTACTGAACTCAAGGACACCAATTATTAAACGCTCTCAATCCTCTATCAAAACAAACTCCTTGGACTGTGCGCTCCTCCTTTCAATCGGATTGACAGATACGAATGACTGTGTCATCCCCCCCCCGCTGCCCCATCCTCTCCTCACAGTGCCTGTCAGTCACAGAGCGCTTGCTCAGAGCAGAGAGATAGTTTCCTGCCTCTTCCTTAATACCCATCTCTATTTGACAGCTTATTGAGTCTCTATATCTCCCAATGTACACTATGTGTGAACGTGCTCATGAGCACGTGTGTGTGTGTGTGTGTGTGTGTGTGTGTGTGTGTGTGTGTGTGTGTGTGTGAGCTTCTCCAGCGGGTTTACGTCTCCAGTGTGACATGCCTGTCATGTTCGCCTCTCTTCCCCATCTTGAAGGTGTGCTTGTCCATCAAGCAGCAGGGGTGATGGGAAGGGGTGGGTGCCTGGCAGAGGGGGGGCTGGTAGTGGGGGGTCTTAAGACTCACATGCACCCCCCATCCCGTCAGCTGGAGAAAGATACCAGGAGTGGGATGACTGCGATGGTGGTGGTGGTGTTGGCGGGG